AAAACAGAAATGTTAGCTGCTGCACATACATTCTATGAATATTTGCTTAGTCAGCCTTTTTATCAATTAAAATAAGCTGTCAAAACTTTCACAGCCATTCTGCACCAAAGCATTCCCAGAAGTCTCCAATGGAAGTACACAGATGGGACTTTCTTAAAAATTTCCTAAAGAGCAGCCCCCAACACAGGATAGGCTTTTAAAATCCTCTTGTGAGGATTTGGGGAAAATAGTAACCGGGGACAGAGAGAATACGGCTCTGTCCCCCACTGTACATTCTTAAAAATACATATTTTTGTTATTTGAAGGCTTTGAGGCAATCCCTTTGGAATTTCAGGAACTGTTTCTATAGCAACCAGTGCTAAGATACTAGTGAATATGGAAAAAAATCTGTTGATCTGCAGATGAAGAGGCAGAATTTCTTAATGTGGTCAGAAGCACACAAAATACCCCTTTCTAATGCTCACTCTTTTCATTGTCTTCTCAATGCCAAAGAAGTTGTCTTAAAGTTTCCAATCCACCTCCATTGTGAAAAAGTGTGATTTTCAAATAACAGCTGTTCTCACCTTCAGCATAGAGTCCTTTAGGATTATCTGGACATGATCTGGAAAGATGTCCCATCTCACCACAAATAAAGCATTTTGCATATGGAAATTCTCCTGTAAGAGTTCAAAAGTTTACATGTAATGCTGCATACAACCACACAAATAAATTCATACCACTATAATTTCAAAGGTCAAGTCACTCATACATTTTGAGAACTGTTTAGTGTATATTTTTTAAAAGGAAGGCACTTTTTCCAGGCCCACTGTACAGAGTTGTAGTTATAGTACATACCAAGAGCAGGATCTATTTTTACTTTGCATTTCTTGATTTCATGCTCTGTAGATCCACAACGATAACAAATTCCAGTTCCCATATCTTGGCTGTCAAGTGCAGCTGGGCAATCTGCAACACCATGTCCTGGCTTTCTACAGTGGAAGCATACCTTTGACAACACAATGTAAATTACCAATTGGCAGATGGAATCACAGTGATCTCTTTTTCCGCTAACCACATTTCAAATTACTCATACCCCCCAAAACAGATGTTACCACTATGCATCTACAGCAGCTTAGAATCCTGAAGGGGGGGGGGAAGCATCCCTTTTTCTTGGCCTCACAACAAATAACCTGTAAGATTTTCTGAACTACCTTTGGAAATAACTTCACAAAAGACTACTAACTAATATGTACCTTTCCTATGTTACCATATTTTCTGCAGTCTTCCTCTGATGAGCCCAACCTTACAAGATAGCCTAACACAGTGATGGTGAACCTTTTAGAGACCGAGTGCCCAAACTGCGACCCAAAACCCACTTATTTATCGCAAGTGCCAACACGGCAATTTAACCTGAATACTTTATTTCTATATTAACTTAAGATGATCCAAACAAAGTAAGGAAAGCAATCCCAAATGCTTTCATTTACTTAAAATTCGACACTTTAATGATAGTCTGGGCCTGGCTGGGGCGATGGCATGCGTGCCCACAGAGAGGGCTCTGAGGTTCGCCACCACTGGCCTAACAGCACACAACTGTTAGAAGGGAAAGTCCAGATCTTCCAGACCCCACCCTTTTCCCTGCCCTAGTCTCCTCCATCAGCCATTTCTTCCCTGCCATTGGAGGGCTGTTTTGATTATTATTTTTTTTAAGAAAACCAACAATTGAACACTTGTTATAATCATATGACACTATAACAATCAGGTAATGACTTCCCAGCTTTCACTTTTTTAAAAAAAATTAAGTCAGTTTGGTGTAGTGGTTAAGCGCGCGGACTCTAATCTGGGAGAACAGGGTTTGATTCCTCACTCCTCCACTTGCACCTGGCTGGATGGCCTTGGGCAAGCCGTAGCTCTGATAACAGCTGTTCTTGAAAAAGAGCAGTTTCTGTCAGAGCTCTCTGAGCCCCGCCTACCTCACAGGGTGTCTGTTGTGGGGAGGGGAAGGGAAAGGAGTTTGTAAGCCACTCTGAGACACCTTTGGGTAGTGAAGGGCGGGGTATAAATCCAATCTCTTCTTCTTCTTCTATAGCCCCTGGTTATGGATATGCACATCCCCTTTTATCTCTCCAGTGTGGTGTTGTTAGGAGTGCAGACTCTAACCTGAGAGAACTGGTTTTGATTCCCCACTCCTCCACATGCAGCTTCTGGTGTGACCTTGGATCAGTTACAAGATCTTTCAGAGCTGTTCTCTCAAGAGCAGTTCTTGAAAGACCTCTCTCAGTCCCACCCACCTCACAGAATGTTTGTTGTGGGGAGGGGAAGGGAAATGAGATGGTAAGCTGCTCTGAGACTCCTTTGGGTAGTGAAGGGCAGGGTATAAATCCAACCTCTTCTCTTCTTCCAATAAAACTGACTACATACTTTTTGGAAAAAATGAAAGCTGGAAAATCAGAGACACTGACAGATTGTTATCACAGTATAATGCTATAACAATATTCAGTCGCTGATAAAAACTGGGAAAAGTTCCTATCAGGAGACTGAGGCAGAGGACAGGGGACACCTGCTGCCAGGAGACTGAAGCAGAGGAAATGAGGGGAAACAGACCATGTGGAAGTCCACTTGTTGCTGCATGATATCAGCAGTTGCAGCAGCAACAGGAAAACCACCTAAGCACATAACTGTGTGGAAACAACAGTTTGAATGAAGAAAACATCTGGATAAAGCATACTTACGGAAGAATGAGAACAAACTTTGCATTATGAAGTTTGAGTCCAGTGGCACCTTTAAGACCAAAACTTTGACTAAAACTTTGTTGGTCTTAAAGGTGCCACTGGACTCAAACTTTGTTCTACTGCTTCAGACAAAAATGGCTACCCACCTGAATCTAACTTTTCATAGACATTCAAGAATAACAGTTGTCTAATCAAGCAAAATATAGAATTCGCTTACAGTTCTAGTCTGTCTTTAATAACACTGACTTTAAAAGCAAGACACCCAACAGCTAAGTTAATAGTCAACATTAGCAAACTTCTAAATATACAATGTGTGTATGAACAAGTTTCTACAAGCATAAAAGCTGTACTGTGTACAAGACTGATATGTTGGGATAAGCCTCACAAAAATACACAATGAGGCATAGGTAAAGTAAAGATAAAGGTTCCCTTGCTTGAAAGCCAGTCAAATCTGACTCTAGGGTTGCGGGGCTTATCTCCGTTTCAAAGCCGAAGAGCCAGCACTGTCTGAAGACATTTCTGTGGTCATGTGGCCGGCATGACTAAACACCAAGGCGCACGGAACGCTGTTACCTTCCCACTGAAGTGGTACCTATTTATCTACTTGCAATTTCTTGCATCGAACTGCTAGGTTGGCAGGAGCTGGAACTAGAGACGGGAGCTCACTCCGTCATGTAGCACTCGGGTTTCGAACTGCTGAACTACCGACCTTCCACAGCCTGCAGTTCAGCGTCTTAACCACTTGAGCCACCATATGCACAAACATAAATAGAAGCTTGGACTCAAGACTGTTAAATAGCTAATGTGGAAAAGCATGTATGCAGCCTAATATTCTTCCTGCAGTTATCTGAACTCAATCACACTATTGTGTTCTCAGAGGTGTGTAAGAAGCACCAGTCAAATGATGGGGAAAAGGGGATGGAAAGTAGCAGAGTCTAAAGGGGGGGGGGATCAATGAAAGTCTTACCATGCTGTTCTTCTTTATATCCTGCCTTTTCAACCTTCTGGTCTCCCGGCGTTGATCTTTCTTTAAGGCTGTTGCTATTTCCTCCTTATCTTTGTGGCTATCAATCACTTTTCCATTACGCAATTGCGAATTTTGTTTTAAATATTCCATAAAACCATTAACATCTTCATTTAGGTAGTCTTTTTTCTTCTTATTCTTCTTTTTTCCTTGGAGATTCCTTAAAGGACTTTGCTTTTTATTTGTTGCTGTGGTTCCAGAGGAACTATTTTTCATATCTTCCCATGGTGTTGCATCTAGAGCCTTCTTGCTGTGAGTGTTGTTAGTTCGAGCCCATCTTGTCATGGCTTCATTCAAAGATTTCTAAAAGACTTAAGAATAAATATTGTCAATTAAAGTCCGTTCTGGCATTAGATCCAAAGTTAGATTCAACTGTGCTTCACTTGGTGGGTGCATAAGATGATTAGGGGGTACTAAGAATATTCAAAAGACCCTGAGAGAATTACCACTGGTGGAGACAGTGTAATGTTTTACATGAATGAATGTTTTACATTTATACATACTTGGGACTGTCCCAGGCCTGCACCAGTACTCAAGAAATCATTTTGATTCTACCAGGAAACATTTCTTACTCACTGTGAATGGTCCTCAAAATTCAACTTCCGTAAAATTTCACTCTTAAACAGTCTTCCTAAGCTTAACTTCAACCATAAATATTATAGCAAATAAAACATCTTAACTCTCCATTCTGCCTAAAATCTGCCAACAATGGAACAAAAAAAAATTACATTGCCAGTTTCATATCCAATTACCATTTTTGCATTCCTCCACAATACCTCTCAGGAAATTCTGCATTCCTTCCATTAGTTTCAGGTTGACAAACAACTTCCAAACACATTACATCAAAATTAGTTATACTAGTATCTACTGCTTCTGTCCAGAGGCCTATTGAGAGACTATAGCCATTAGAAGAGCCATAACTTCCCCAACCCCAATTTTTGCGCTATGAAACCCACGAAGCTAATGTAGGAAGTCTAGATCATTCATGTTCCTGTCATGTGCTGTTCATATCACTGTCATATGCTGTTGACAGATAAAGTCCACAATGACAGGCAAACCAGTGGGGGCTGCTTGGAGGAGCAAGAGAATAATGGAGGAAGCTTCATGATGTGCAGGGGGGGGATAGAGTAGAAAAGTTAAGAGGATACTTAATTCTCAGTCTTAAGGTGTGAAGGCCTGAGGAAAAAATGGGGGGGTCTCCCCATTCCATGGACTTATTTCGTATTTCCCAGTGGGAATATTGGGAAATTTGGGAGACTACAGAAAAAAATACTATGAAATATTTATATTTGTTTTGGAATATATAATATGAATTTTTTAAATGTATGTAAGACAATCTACAGCATGAGGTGCCTACATCTTCCTACATATACCTAAACTATCCAAACAATATACTTAAACTTCCTTCCTATCAAACTTAACCATACTTGAGTCTTCCAAGTCTTTATCTGACACTCTAACCATGATCCCACATTGACTCACCATTCCTGGTGGCCATGAACAATGCTGATCTGACAGATCATGCTGTAAAGCTCACTGTAAGATCTATGAAGCAGCAGTGATGGAGGCAAAGATGTATCACTTATCTTGCTATTACTGCATCAGCTAGTTCACGACCATCCCTGTTGTTCAAGGGGCCTTCATTGTCTCTGGAACAATTAGTTGAGGTACTTCTGCAAAATTTTCTACTCGTATCAAGAATACACTGTGATCTGGATGCCGATTGTAACATAGGTCCACCAGAAGAAATGGCTAATATACCTATTGGTCCATTTATAGACCACTTTGACCCAGTTTCCACAGTGTATGCTGACAAGCTCCTGGGAACCATGAAGACCACTATTTGGGTCCTGGATCTTTGCCCAACCTGGCTTCTAAAACCATGTAAAGGTCACATCAATGAGTCCTTAGTATTTCCCTTATATATAAAAGCCGAATGGTGGTGGCACTTCTCTAGAACATTCCACACGCTCCGGAATTGGTTGGCGCCCTGGTGTGTCACTCAGAATCTGTCCATATTCACTGGCTGCATTGTTTGAGTCTTGCCTACAACATTCTAAACATTTTGCTGTTCCTCCCCCCCCCCATAGCCAGTCAGAACACAGAGGTTATTTGCATATGCAGCCTCATTGGCCTTTGCCTGGGAACACAGAGGTCGTTTGCATATGCGACTTGATTGGCTTTTGCTTCTAAAATTCTAAACAGTTTGCTGTTCTGAGGTAAAATGTGTCCAATCTCCAAGTGAGGGCTGGAGATCACTCAGAATTACAACTGCTTTCCAGGTGGAAGAGATCAGTTCCCCTGGAGAAAATGGTGGGCGGTGGGCTCTGGTATGCTGATGAGGTGGCCCCTGTATGACAGCCAATGTGACGTAGCAGTCAGGGCTTCAGAGCACGGGAGAGGCTGCAGGTGCGTGGGGGGTGGAGAGCTGAAGAGTGAGGGAGAAATAAAGGTAGGTTGATGATTGGCTGAGAAGGAGATAGGGTTGCCAACTCCAGGTGGGAAATTCCTGGAGATGTGAGGGATGGCGCCTGGAGAGGGTGAGGTTTCAGGAGGCGTGGGACCTCGGACAGGTACAAAACCGTAGACTCCACCCTCCAAACCAACCATTCCCTTCTGGGGAACTATCATTGCCAATCTCCAGGTGAGGGCTGGAGATCACTCAAAATTACAACTGTTCTTTAGGTAGCAGAGATCAGTTCCCCTGGAGAAAATGGTGGACTCAGTGTCATTATACCCTGCTGAGGTCGCCACAGCAAATTGACACTGAGTGTCCAAGGCCGGGGCACCCGCCCAGAGCCTCTTTCTACAGATCGTTGTATTTATTTCCACAACAGGCCTTTTTCCTAATCTATTATAAATAAATTATTAATTCATGGCACCTTCCCTCACTTACTCAAAGAGGATGTTATCAGTCAACTTCTAAAAAGAAAACCGTACAGCAAAATGATGTAGCCAATTAGTGCCCAGGCAAAGTGATTGAGAGAGAAGTAACAGACCAAATCCAGGTCTTCTGGGATAACTCATCTGCTCTAGACCAGGGGTGTCAAACATATGGCCCACAGGTCTAACCTGGCCAACTCAGGGCTTTAATCTGGCGTGCACAGTAGAACACTCCCAGCAACACCCCCTCCCCTGCATTAAAAACCTACTGAACCAGCCAAACATCCTCTAGGTCTAGGACTTTTCCTCTCTCATGACAGTTATAGAGCCTCCTCTTGTTGTAAAGGTGTGTATGGCTCTTTCTCATTGGCTGCTGGCTTCCACCTTTCTCCCCTTCCTAAGCCAAGACTGAGAATTAGCAGCAGGAAGAATGACAAGTGCTTGTCAGAAGAATCCCCTGCTCCCTTGGGGGAAGGGAGGGGAGGGAAAAAGCAACAGAGAGCACCAGCCAAAGTCGGAGTCCCATGGCGCATTTAAGACCAACAAAGTTTTATTTCAGGTATAAGCTTTTATGTGCATGCACACGTCTTCAGAGGGAGGGGAGATTCTTCTGACAAGCACTCATAACGAAATGCAAAATGCTTCATTTTGGTGTAGCCAGTTTGGTGTAGTGGTTAAGTGTGCAGACTCTAATCTGGGAGAACCGGGTTTGATTCCCCACTCCTCCACTTGCACCTGCTGAAGTGACCTTGGGTCAGTCACAAGCTCTGGCACAGCTGTTCCTGAAAGAGCAGTTTGTGTCACAGTTCTCTCAGCCCCACCCACCTCACAGGGTGTCTGTTGTGGGGAGGGGAAGGGAAAGGAGTTTGTAAGCCGCTCTGAGACTCCAAGTGAAGGGCGGGGTATAAATCCAATCTCTTCTTCTTCTTCTTTATTCAAATCTGGGCTGAAGCACTTTCCATCTTTTACCCAGCTAAGGCACAAGAGAAGACAAATCTGCTGAGCTAGGAGAAAACACTGGCCTTTCTCTTTTATAACCCATTAAGGATGCATTGCCGAGCACTCCCAGAAAGAAAAAGATAGTGTAACTATGAGGTATGGAGGTTGGGGGGAGAACAAGCACAGAAGGGGGGGAGCCAACAGCAAACTTATCAACCAACATGACAAGTTCAATCCACCTCCACCATCAACAAGCAGCAGCAGCTCCTCCCCTTCCCATTCTCTCTGTAAAAAGTGTTTTTGAGCATCACCAGCTCGCCCTCGTTCTAGTCTGCCCAGCAACAAGATGCATTTCGCCTGTTGCACAACTTGCTTGCAAGCTGGAAGTTAACTTTAGCTGAGGAGTACTTGATACGAGAGCAACTACATTTTCCATGGTAGCTCTTTCTCACTCCCCAAGTTACAGAAAGGGAGAAGTAAGCCATTCCAAATGGTTGCGTTCCAAAGAGCAACGAGAATGTTTTGCACACTCACTCTGATGTTGCTGCTTTGGGAGGGAGGAAGGATCGGGTTGTTTTTTTAAGGACTCTCTTCCCCCCTCCTTTTACAGTTGCATGTACTCTTGAAAGTAATGAAGGGGAGCAGAGATATGCCGATCGACTAGGGCGGGAGGGGGGAACCTTGCCCTGCTTCTTAGCAATGATTAAGGTTGCAGTTTCCTAAGAGATGAGTCCCAACTAATCTACAACACATGGGGGGGGGGGGAGGGACAGTTTTACAAGAAGTTTCGGATGTAGCAATTTGGAAAGAAATTAAAAATGAGATACACCTACACAACATTGAAAGAAGGGGGGGGAGGGAGAGACAGTTTTACAAGAAGTTTCGGATGTAGCAATTTGGAAAGAAATTAAAAATGAGATATTATTAACAATAATAATCTTAGAAAAATATTTTAGAAACAGTACCAAAAAGAGATCTGGATCAATAACGATGAGGGCTTATTTTATTTAAGAGACCTAGCAAAAAGAGTATTCCGATGCATTTTTCCTAGTTTTGGATCCTTCTTTCCTGTACTCATGAGGATACATGTAATCCAGAAACTCAAGAGATGTGCCTCTCTGGTGTCTCTCTCACCTTTCGTCCTTTGGTACTCCTTGTTCCACTAACTGGGAGCCTTTTGAAAGATCATGCCTGCTGGGCTTCATTGAAAATTGTGTTTTTGTATTTGACTTGCTCTGAGTTGTAATATTTTGTGCCTGCAATTTTAAAATGCATACAGATTGTGGTATGAAATTATTCAAATCTATGTTGCACACTTCAACATATCTTTCTAAAGTTACCCATATTTTTTTATTGTTGTCCAGACCTTTTAAAAATCTTTCTGGAGTTGAGAGAGATTTAAGTAAGATTCTCCTTTTTCTACCCTTTTCTGATATGTAAATGCTACATTTTTTTATTGAAAGGATATATTATTAAAGCTTAAAAATGCTTTAAAAAGAAAGAAAGAAAGATCATGCCTGCTGTATCTTTATTCTCCCTCCTCCCCCTTGCCAGCCTTCAGGAAGGATGCAGGCGTAATCCGTACTACACCCCCCCCCCTTTTGAAAGATCCGAGGGAGGAGTTTCTGGTACTGCTAAAAGAAAGAGAGAAAAACTTGTTCAACTTTTCTCCTCCGCCCCCACCTCGCTGGCTGCCTTTCTTCACATTAACCCCCCCCTTTGCTTTTTGACAGTTTCATTATCATCACTAGCACTAAGTGGATTTTGCCCAATCTGAAATCAACACTTAGAGAGATTCCCCTCTTTGGGTCTAACAAATAAAGAAAAAAGAAAGAAAACTAACAGCACAGCTTGCAATCTTTATTAGTAGAAAGGAGCAAGAGTCCAGTAGCACCTTAATGACTATCACAATTTGTGACAGGACATGAGCTTTCATGAGTCACTGCTCACTTTTTCAGATACAACTAGAATATGAGTCCATCTGTCCTTATATCTTGGAGAGGGAAGTGATTTCAGATGCCAAATGACAACAGCATGTATAACATGATTTATATTTATTTATCTATTTCCTTAAGTTAGTGTTAAATGACAATAGCAGGCATTGGTAATGAGAGAAGAAACCAAGGTCTCAGTTCAGTCCAGGAAGATATATTGTCTTGAGCTTCATTATCAGTTGCAATTCAGTGGTCTCTCTTTCTAATCTCCCTTTGAAATTCCTTTGTAAGAGAACTCCTACTCTTAGGTCAGCAACTGAATGTCCTGGAAGGTTAAGTGCTCCCCCACTGGTTGTTGAATGTTGTGGCTTCTTGCTTACAAACTCCTTTCCCTTCCCCTCCCCACAACAGACACCCTGTGAGGTGGGTGGGGCTGAGAGAACTCTGACACAAACTGCTCTTTTTCAAGGACAGCTGTGCCAGAGCTTGTGACTGACCCAAGGTCACATCAGCAGGTGCAAGCGGAGGAGTGGGGAATCAAACCCGGTTCTCCCAGATTAGAGTCCGCACACTTAACCACTACACCAAACTGGAGATGGCACTGCTGGCTTTAATTGACCTCCAACTGACTGCTGACAAAGGCCAAGCCTCTTTGGTTGCTACTGCTGTATTTATCTACCACCTGTGATACAGTGGACCATGCCATCTTGTTGAGGCACCTAGAGGCAGAAGCAGGCATGATGGCCCCATTCACTTCCCTCCCTCAGAGGCAAGGTTTTCCCTCTGTTTTTCTTTACCTTTTGTGACTGGGATGCCCTACTTATCTGTTCTCTTATTTCCTGAAGAATTCTGGCTGTCCCACCCTGTCAAAGTATAATATTCTTGCTGTTTGCTCAGCCCAGGAACCTGAGGGAAGGAATGAGAGCCCCCTTTAACTTAATACGATTTAAATGCCACTCAAGACGTTTTTATATTACAAGTTAACAAAATATTTTATTCAACGTAGAGGGGAAAGGTCAAGTGAAATCAGGGGTAAAATTTCTGAGGTATCTGGCTGTCCCACCCTGTCAAAGTATAATATTCTGGCTGTTTGCTCAGCCCAGGAACCTGAGGGAAGGAATGAGAACCCCCTTTAACTTATACGATTTAAATGCCACTCAAGACGTTTTTATATTACAAGTTAACAAAATATTTTATTCAACGTAGAGGGGAAAAGTCAAGTGAAATCAGGGGTAAAATTTCTGAGGTAACTCAATAACGATAACTCTGAGGTAAAATCAGAACATGCACAGACTTTAGTTCTTGTATTTCAGGCTAATGAGAGTTTCTTAAGCTAATCACAGTTACTTAAAATCTTTACAATGAGAGGCTTTTGTTCCAGTGTTTTCCCAAACACAATAGTACACTTTCTTTGAGTATTCTCTGACTTTTTAGGTTTCCAGAAGGCTGGTACACTATTTCCAGTATCCAAATCCCTTCTCTTGAAACACCAGTACTTGTCCTAAGTTTTTAACTGGCTCTTACGGTTTCTACAGGTAGTTTCTAACCACCCCAGACCAGGGATCTCTCCAGTCTTCAGAGCTAACTCCCCATCTGACAGGGTAGGGAAATTCCTTCTCTCTCTAGAATATCTATCCACTTTCTTTGGTCCGAATGGGAGTCTTTACTTCCCAAAGTCCTTGACAACTTCCCCCCATTCTCCATCTGTGTTAAAACTGTTCTCAGCTAAGGCTACTGAAATCAGTACTCAACTCCATCAAGGCAGAAACCTGACTTACTCTCTCCTCAGCTTGCAACTCTCAAGTCTTTCTCTGCTCAGCTGATGCTAACCAATCAGATTGCTTGGAGCAGTCTGTCACTCAAGGTTCTCTGTTTCTGTGAAGAATTAACCCTTCACAGTCCTTCAGCTGTTTGTACAGCACTTCTAAGCTTTTAAAAATGCAGCTTGTCACAGCAGGCATCAAACATTGTGCATTGGACTGGTTCAAATCATTCCTCACCAACCAAACTTAAAGAATTGCCATTGGACACCAGTTATCATCAGTGTGGGACCTATTCTATGGGGTTCCACATGTTCTTCAATCTCTATGTAAACCCCTTAGGCCAGATCATTTATAGTTTGGGGGTTGGCTGTCAACAATATACAGCTGATACTCATCTTAACCCACATCATTGATAAAGTAAAGGTCCTGAATCACTGCCCAGTTGCTGTAATTCAATGGCTAAGAGTGAACAAATTAAAACTAAACCCTGAAAGACTGAGGTAATGCTGGTTGGGAAGGCAAAGGTCTTGAAGGACATTATGCTCCCCACTTTTGATAGTGTTCAGCTGACCCTTGCTGACTCAATTAAGAGCCTTGGTGTTATACTAGATTCAACATTATTGCTGGAGAAACAAATTAATATAGCTGCAGAAAATGCCTTCTTCTAACTCAGCCTAGCCCAAAAGATGGGCCCCTACTTTGATGCAGACAATCTGGTCTCCTGGATCTATGCCACAGCACCATCAAGAATAGACTACTGCAATGCAATCTACATAGGTCTCTACTTGAAGTCAATACAGAAATGCCAGTTGGTACAGAATGCCACAGTACGGCTATTACCAGAAACCAGACAGAGCATGCATATAGCTCCCATTCTGCAGTCACTCCATTGATAGCCCATCAGTTACCAGGTTCAATTTAAGCTACTGCCTATCACGTACAAAACCCCCATGGCCTTGGTCCCTCATATCTGCAGGACCACCTCTCCCTCTATGCTCCACCATCTGTGGGCACTACCCTGCAAATGTGCAAAATCAGCAATTTCACTATACATGCATTCTCTGTTGTGTTGTCCCCTCCATCTTATGGAACAGTCTGCCTGATGAGATCAGAAAAACTCCCATCTTCCAGGCTTTCCACAAGGTATACAAAACTGAATTATTCAAGAGGGTGTTTTCCACAGGAAATAGGGCTGTAATAATATGATTCAGAAAGAATCTTGGGGTAAAGAGTTTGGAACTGCAGACTATACCACTGTGTATAGTTCATACTACCTATTGCTGTAAGTAGGTTCCTACTGTGTAATTTTTGCTTTCACTAAACATGTCATGTTAATACTTATTCCGTACTTCATCACATCTGGTCATTTTCCATATTTCTACAAGTCTAATCACATTGCAATGTCTATTGCAGGGAGACACAGTGTGGTGCCCACTGACCCTTTCCTGGTGCCCACCAACTTTTTTTAGAAAATGGGCACGGCCAAGTGGAGCTTTTGGCCAGCAAGGCTTCTGATTGGTCACTGCAGATTTGAGTTGCTGTACAGATTTTTAAAAAGTTTGCTTTGATAGAAGCTGCCACCATAGCACAAGAATCTTTCCAGTGTGACTGAAGCTAAGCGAAGGTAACCATGTTGTGACCAACAGCTCCCCCGTGCAATAGCCATTTATGGTTGTACCTAACATGCTATTAAAATTTCAAAAGTGAATAGCAGGCTCAAAAAGGTTGGGGACCCCTGGTCTATTGGATGTCCCACCTATGTTGATTGTATCGACTTGTTCTGTGTAATCCACCTTCAATCCCAGAGAAAAGGGTAGACTGTAAACAATGAAACGAACTAACTAAATAAATCCAGTTCATTTGGGAAACAACTTAGAAGCTCTGAAGAGCTCCCCAGCCTTGAAGGAAGATTTCTCAGTTAATACACAAAACTGCAACACATATACCAACAAGGTAAGCCTAATTTAAACATGATGTCAGTCAAGAATTTACCCGTGCTACATTAAACACGATGTACACACACAACCTCATCTAAATCTATCACACTAACCTTGCACACAGAGCAACTGCACACACACACAATCCAGCAGACAGGAGGGACTGGCAGCTTCCACAGCTGGTTTCTTTATTGCTTCTGGGAGAGAAAACTTACTAAGGATCTCATTTAAAGCTATACACACATCCATCACACTAAGCACATACAATATCACACAGGGACGTTGTTCTTGCCCACTAATGTGTTCAGGATCACCGGCAAGCAGGATGTTACAATGGCAATTAACCTTATGCCCAAAAACTGCTACTCACAGGAGAGCTAACTTAAGGGTAGACAAAAATTCAACAACGCAATCTTTTCCCAACATGGGATACGGCGACGAGATAAGATTCGCCAATGTGTCAGGAAACTGTAAAGAGACACAGAAGCTCGGTCAGAAAAGAAAAGGCACGGCAGGGACACATGTACACCTTCTTAACACACAGCATACTGACGACAATACAGTCCGAGGACTTACTGAGGCTGCGCGCTCCTGTCCCCGTCCTCCTCAACAGCCACAGACGCACGAGGCCGCGGGTTGCTCTTCAGCGGTTATTCTGGAAGCGAGGTTGTTTCCAGATTACCTTCTTCTTCCGCCTGACCGTCTGAATGAGTTTCTGCCAACCACCAGTTCACAGGCTTGACCGTCTGAATGAGTTTCTGCCAACCACGAGTTCACAGGCTAGAAGACTCACAAGGAGAAAAACACGACTACCCCCACACTGGAAACTCACAGTCTGGAAAAGAAAGAGCGGCGCCAGCAACGACTGCCTCTTCGGAGGCTGGACTTCCGGGGGATGAGATGACGTCTCAGTGGGTTATAAGAACTTTTGACGGTGAGAGGCTGTTCGTGTCGCCAGTTGCTGTACGGCTGGATTTCAGGTGGTGTGTCTCACCTGCTGAAGGCGATAGATTTAGGCATGCTTAGCTCGCCACTAGAATGCGGTCCTGTGATCTTATCTTCTGGCCCAATTGCTCGGAGTACTGTTTTGCCATGTTGGCAATTTTGCAGGCCGACTCCTTTCCTGGTCGGGGGGGGGGGGGGCATCTTAGGACGGCTCTTTATAAAGATCTTCTGTATTATAAAAGATTTAACACATATAAAAATATTTCTCCTAAGCAAAGGAATTAAATGGGCATAGGTGTCTGTGACTGTTTAGAATTGCGCTGTAAACGAACTTACCTTGTTATTTCCAATTTCCAACTCTAAAATGCTTATGTTTCCAAAGTATTTCCAACCACTTGCCATGATCCCTGGTGTTTTCTGTTTCAATGGCTACAGTGCTGATTAATCACACTGGTTAATTGTAACTAGTCATGTCTCTAGCGGCCCAGCTCTTAAGTAAAATTTAACACAAATTGTTATTCCTAAATTAAATTTACAGTGGCTTCACTCATGCTTACAGGTGTTTAATTCACATTAATAAATTTGACATTTATTTGACACAACACACTTTACTTTGACAAGCCTTTATTGGCATGCATATCCCACAATGCACAGTCATAACTGAGAGTGATATATTGTATCAGCTCTTATATGAAAGTAAGCCTCACTGAAACCAGTGCACCTTTTGCCTGCTAATGATGCTTAGCACTAGGTATTAAAAACTGTATTTGTTGCTTCCTTTCACATATATATGGATGATTTCATCTGTCCAGATTTATTAATTTTATTTTATTTACTTACTTCATTTTTACCATGCCATTCTCCCCAAATAGGTTTATGTCATTCTCCTGTCCTCCGTTTTATTCTCACAACAACCACTGTTTAGGTTGAGAGTGTGTGACTGGCCCAAGGTCACTGTGATGCCCCTTGTCCCCTTGCCTACCACCTTCAACATCCTCTCTCAGATTCAGGGTTATAGTATATCAGGACCTCACAAGCTACCCTTCCTGTCTCTTTTAAAATATACTGGGAGCCGTGACCATTATTCATATCATAGACATGAATAGACTGAGGTATTAAATTGTGTGCGCGCGCTTCTTTCTCACAGACATACAGCCCACAGAGTTCGACAAACCAATGAAACGGCTATTTATGATATGAACAAAACACTGAGGAAAGTAAGGTATAAGTAACAACATTTCACTTCCACTGAAATTTGAACTGAACTATTCCTTTAGTTACAAATTTACTTGTATTAGCCTGCTCTAAGCAGCTCTTCTGCACAGTTCCAATCAGTCAGGAAATCTTTTTTTCTTCCCTCAACTCCTAAGCTGTCAAATTCTCTGACGTTAACTCCTTACTGTCATTTTCAACAGTTGTTTCCCAAGTCCTCATCCTCAACATTTTGTCAGCTGTCATTGGTTGCTCTTGAAGAGAGGCGGACCTAACCCGTCCATCACAGTCACCCAGCAAGCTTCAATGGCAGAGTGGGTATCAAACCCAGGTCCCCCAGATATGTCACTCTAACCACAACACCACATTGGCCCTGTTTCAGAGAAAGACTGGGGGGGTGGGGGGGGGGGGTATAAATACATTTGTATGATGTTACAACTGTGAGTTGAAGGGGTTTTTTTCTTTTCTTTTAAAAATGTTACCCAGATTATCACTGTGTTCGGTGACATGGTGCAATTCTGTAGACATTTTCTTGGTAATAAGCCCTGTTGAATGGAGTGGGATTTACTTCTGAAGTAGTATGCATATTATCAGCTCTGAGGGCATTCTGCAATAGTTGATCAGGGTGAGACACAGCAGCTTTTCCCTGAGTGCAAGATCACAATGTATGCTGCCATAGTAGGACAGAAAAATATGGTGCTGTAACTTTTCTGGCAACTAGTGCAAATGTTTATGATCTGAATTATTTGAATATGTTACTAAATCACATTTACCACTAGAGGGAGTATGTGCCCATGGTTCATGTTTACAAGTAAGGAGACTGTGGGGGGATACGCTAAAAAGAAAGTTTGATTATTGATCTTATATACCATTAGGAGGTATTGGTTTTAATGAGGTTAGGAGTGCCTAACTCTTCATCAGATTGAGCAGTTAAATACCTAGTGGCAAAAGAGTTGCTGCTTAAAGCATAGAGAAATATTAGGAGAAAATAAGTAAATCTAAGCTGTACCAGAATTAATTCATATATTATTGATGGCAGAGTTACCAGTGAAAGTGTTTGATATAAATTAAATAAAAGTAATAGTATAAAAACTCAAACAAATTGATTTTTAAAATTTCCATTGTTGTCATTGACAGATTCCTGTTGAAGTACTCTTGTTGAAAATCATGTTTCATTGTTGTTGTTTTAAAGGTCAGCAAAGGAAGATCCTGGGAGACTGAAATGTTGTCATACTGGTTTCTGAATATTGCAATATTTTATGTCAGATTTGTATATGTGATAAATGAGAGGAGTATTCTATGGATGGTGGCAGAGATGGGGAAATTTCACATTACCGTTTTAAAGCCGTTATTGTACCATCATGGTCTAAACCGGTAAAGGGGCGGCTGTTTCACACAGCCTTTCCCTTCCAGTAAGGAGCCGTCAGTGAAGCGGTTTGTTATTTCACACTGCACCGCTTTCTTTTCCCACCATTCCCCCCTCCCCCATGCGCACAATCTCCCTGACAGGTTTTTTTTAAAAACATTCTATTAGGAGCACTATGGCACTGAATCAGGACTACATATCAACGCCATAGCGACCCCACTGAGATTCTTCCCCTTTTCTCTTCCCCGCCATTCCCCCCCCCTGCACACATGATCTCCCTGACAGGTATTTTTTTAAAAAACAAAAACCACACATTCTATTGGGAGCGCTACGGCACTGTATTAGGACTACAAATCAGCGCCATAGCGACCCCATTGAGATGCCTGGACTCCATTTAGATACACTGACATTCGCTACTGCTGTCCCCTGGAAACAAGGAGCTCACTGGATATAGAATTCAAGCGTGGGGGGGGGGACCGGACAGTTTTGAAACCCAGGTAGCAGGCTATTCTGTTGCTTTTTAATTCATCAAAGCCCAAACTAGTAAAGGCCCCCCCCCTTTTCATGCTGTGCTGGTACGTTTGTCCTTATTGCTATTTTCAGTGATTTAATCTTTAAACAGACATGATAAATACAATGTCTGCTCTGAAATTACCTTTTAAAATCCATGCTGAGATGCAGTAGTGAACATCAGTGTATTTAAATGGAGTCCAGGGATCTCAATGGGGTCGCTATGGCACTGATTTGTAGTCCTGCTGCAGCGCCATAGCTCTCCCAATAGAATGTTCAAAAAAAAGAATGGACAATCGCACGCGGGGAGAAAAGGGGGGCAAAAAGAACTGGCATCACAGGAAGCACTACAGGGCATTTTACACAGCACCCTATTGCGCTTCAGAAGCGGTAGAAGGATTTAAAGACCTGTTGGAAGCAGTTTGTAGTAAAGGCGCTTCAGCCATGTTTCCCGAATGGGACAGAAGCGTTTCTGTATGAAAGGGTAAATATATTCCGTCAGGAAATGGTTACTAAAATGATTCTGTCTGAAATGACAGACAGAAACAGTTAGTGAACAGTTCCTGAAAAGGAATATATAGGCTGGCTGAAATTCCTCATAGCTTATACTAATGGTTCTCTGGCACTTTTATCCAACAATCCTGTTTCCCATGTTTGGGATATGATTACAAAAAATATCGATACCCATAATACTGACATGCTTTTTAAAAACAAACAAACCCTGTTTGCAATATATAATCAAATATACATTTTCAGCTTTAAAAAAACAATTGAAGACTAGTGAATAACACCAGGACATTGGTCATTATGATCTGATGACCTATCCTAAAGACTTACTTCATGTGTGAGTCACAAGACTAGAGCCAAAGAAATTTTCTGGCTGTCTATATATCTATTTCTCTTTACTGAAAGTGTTCTTTTCCATTTTCTAGAGCTTTACCAGTAGATGGAGGTATGCACCCAGAATCAAGTGATGTTGTTGTTTGGTTCTTTATTCCTACCAGAAAGCATTGACCTTGATCTAGACATAATTAGAATGCATTTATTACCAAGAAGAAGAAGAAAAATCAATGAAGGGCATTTAAGAATGAATTTTAATAAACTGGGAAAGTATAAGATCCAGCTTTTCATTTTAAATTTGACATTATATTTTAGCTATAATACTTGTGAGTTTAGGGGAATGATTGATTTTCACAGCAGTTCAATAGGTCTGTAGGCACAACATAACTGGCATTTTTCTTTAATTTTACATAAAATACAAGCTGTACAAGAGGTGTCTGTGGTTGCAGTGATAAGAATTCTAACAGATTGAACTCTAGTAGTTGCTTTAATCAGATGAAGTAATTATTTGATGGTAGTTCCCGCTGAACAGTTAAAACCCTCTGTATCAAATAATGAAAACAGTGCATTTCTAGTGCTTTTTAGAGCAATCTGCAGCATAAACAAAAGATAGAAGACCGTTTGAGACTGGCAGTTGGTTTGATGATATTTGTAGCACATGATACCAATTTCAAGTAGGAGCTATTTATTTTTCATTCCAAAAGTATTCTTGAATTGCATACCCCCATGTCCACATGCGTGAGTTTCTTAAGAGGTACTTCTGCACCATCGCTTGCAGTTTTCTGTTGGTTTGTCCCTGTTTGTTCTTTGATGTTACATAAGAACATAAGAGACGCCAATGTTGGATCAGGCCAAAGGCCCATC